AGGAGACAGAGGGCTACAGCTCTGCCCACCTCCTTGGGAAGCACCAGAGCACCGCCGTCCATGAATCTGGACCCCTCCTGTGCCCACAGCTGCCCGGGCCCAGCGCAGTCCCAGGATGGTCCAAGAGGCAAACGGAGAGGTTTGAAGTGATGGCAGCCCCTCCCTGTCTACTGGAGGCCAGTAACTGAGTGACTCCCCGGCCCTCCCCAGGAGTGTTTGCCTGATCTGTGCCGTGTGGGTCCATTAAGCTTTCCCATCATCCTCTCCCTGTGCCAGGACCCCTCACTCCTGCCCACTGCCGGTGACTGAAAAAGTGGAAGGAAGTACACTTGTCTGGCTGAGATGAGAAGGTCTTGGTCTTTGCTATCCCCCTCCCCATCCTGACCTGGGATGTAATGTGCCGAGGACTTTGGTATCTGAGCTCTGGCCTGTGGTCAGCACTCACAGGAGCCGTTTTCATACACAGGAACCAACCGGTGGATCTCCCCTCCTCTGCCCCAGTCCTCCCCTGCCCCCATCCTCACTCTCCCCAGCCTCTACCTCTTCCCAGAAAGAGTGCCCCCTTCTGCCACCCAGACAATAATAATTACAACGGAGAATCATTGCCTCCGAGTGCATTTTACCCGGAACAACCCTGCGTGTCAGAGGCCATTTTACAGATCGGGACTGAGGTTTGGAGAAGGAAGAGTCTCAGGCCAGGTTCGCCAACTCCTCTTGAGCCGAGGGCGGTGAGATTCCAAGGCCACACTCCTCACAGCTTCAGACACTGGAAGACAACTGGATGCAGGCTCCCCCTCGGTGCACCCCTCCCCCCCACATACCTGGTCCCCAGGAGTCAGGCACAGCCAGCCCAGACAGTTCCCCATGGAGGGCAGGAGCAGGCTCCACACAGGTGCAGTCCTTGCTGCTCCTTCTCCAGTGCCCTCAGCCTGGGCGCCCAGCTCCCACCCAAGCACAGGGCCCGCCTCTGGGCAGCCTCCTGGGCCAAAGCCCCTTGGGTGTCCACACCCCAGCTGCTACCCCTAAAAGCCACTTAGACCAAAGCTGCATGGCTACTTCCCCACCCCCACCTCTGAGTTCCTGGCTGAGGCTGCCATAGGCTCCCCTCTGGCTGGCCACCTCCATTTGTCTGTTTGCCTGTCCCCAGGCTGCCTGTCTGGCCTGTGACTGGCTTCCCTGTACTCAGCCTAGCGCTGCTGCATCAGGAGGCTGTGAGGATCAGTGTGGGCAGGGAGGTCTACCCTATACCACCCCAAGGGACCACCCAAGACCTGCCAGTCTGTAGCTTTGGAGCCACACCAGAGTTGAAGGAGGTTGCTCAATGGGAGACCACCAGTCAAGGTCCCCTGGGTCAGAAGGCTTGGAGACCCCTTCACTCCCTGGGACAGCAGCTCCCGATCAGCCTTGGGCCTTTTTCACCTTCCACAGCGAAGGACTCAGCCTGTGAGTGAAGACGGATGGGAACAACACAGCTGGAGGGAGGGGTCACAGGGCATGTGGTCACAGCCAGGGGCCAGGCACAAACACTGGATCCAAGACAACAAAGGAGGCCCCAAAGCGGGGAAACACAAGGGAAGGTAACAAGAGTAAGGAGGGGGTGGGTAACAAAGGAAGTGGGTAACAACAAAAAAATAAAGGCGCAGGGGAGAACGGCAGGTAAAAATGCCAAAGGGGGCACAGGAATGAGCGAGAGGGAGCAGGGCCAGGTAACAGCCCGGGGGTAGAGGGGTAGGGGTGGGGGTGGGGGAAGGGCGACCAGCATCTCTCCTGGGCAAACTCTGCCCCAAGCCTCCTCCAGCCTGAGCCTCAGGCGCTGCGATGAAGGCGAGAGACGCAGCCCAGGCAAAGGCAGAGGCCCAGGAGTGTGGCTGAAAGGTGCCCAGGAGCTGCGAGCTGGTCGGGGTCTCTGGGAAAGGAAGAGAGGAGGTGGACGGTGAGGCGGGCGACAGGCGGAAGGAAGTCAGGTCGGAGGTGGTCTGGGCGGTCCCCCTCCCCCAGGCCTCCCCACTACTGCCACCTGGCTACGCGGACCTTGCAATAGAGGGCGAGGAGACCTGCCGGGGCTCCCCTCCCCTGGACAGTCGTTCGGTCCAGCCTGGGAAAGGAGGGGGCCGTCCCCGGAGCTCTGAGTCCAGCTCCCTGCTGCAACACCCCAGCGATAGGCGGGGCCTGGGCCTGGGCGGTGACTTGGGGTGTGGCTGTGGGCAGAGGCCTGGTCACTGCCGGAGGATGGATGGGTTCGTGCCCCCCAGGGGTGGGGTGGGGGGGCCTTACGCCTGTGTAAAGGACCCCAGCTTCCCCGGCCGGAGCCGCCTCCCTCCCTAATGGCACTAATGGCCCCGCGAGAGAGCTAGGACCTCAGGCTTAGGGCTCCTCCCGTAGACGACACCAGGCCTCTCTTCCGAGCCCAAAATTGAGCAGTGGGACCAGGGTGACGGGAAGAAATCTGGACGAGACCCAGAGACGACGGAGAGAGAAGAGGGGAGAACCACGAGTACCAAAGAGGGAGGGGGCGCAGGAAGCCCACCGAGGACGCCGGGGCGGCCGTGCCCCGCCCACCCCGCTCGGGTCCGGCCAGCGACCCACCCCCCGCTGGACAGCGCCACCTGCTGGCTCTGCGGGGGATCGCATGGCCCGAAGCGCTGCCCCAGGCTCCACCCCTCTGACTGCGACTGGGTCCAGCTCTGCGAAGTGGGGATTGGGGCGAGGTCGGCGCGCCGGGGCTGCTTGCAATACAGGGACTTAGGGGTGGCATAGGAGTGGTAGGCAGAGAAACCAAGACTCTGCAGAGCCCCTCATGGGCTACTCTCCCTCACCATACCTAGCACCAACCTCTCTGGCCTGGGACACCTCAGGCCACATGAAATCTGGCCTTTCACCAAGTGCTCCAGCACTTGTGACCAAATATTTGCTGACCACTAGATGCCAAGCACTGTTGAGCACTGAGAAAACATCTCTGAGACTCATGGAAACGGGGATTTGTGTACGTGGCAAGGGGAGGCGAGGCCCAGGGCTAGGGAAGCCCCAAGGAGGAGCATTTAACCCAGCCTGGAGCCCAGGAGTCTTTCAGGGTGGACCATGGGGCTGTGTCTGGAACTTGCCCAATGTCTGCAGGCTGTGTGGGGAGGGGAGGGAGCGATGAGAGTGGGGGACAGGTCCAGCCCTGTGGCCCAGATCCAGAGATGGATTTCATCCCATCAGTGGTGGGGAACCCTTTTAATGTGTACTGGGTGTGACGAGGTCAGTAAACCCATGGTTTGAAAGACCAAGTTCAAGGAGGAGCAGGGGCAGGAGTGGGCTCAGAGAGGGAGAATGAGGACTTGAGAAGTCTGGATCCACCCCTTCTGCCAGTGCAGATCCTGAGATAAAGAACTGAGTGGAATCAGGGTAAATAAGTTCAGGGTAAGACTCGAGAGAGTGGAGTTAAAATGAGCACCCACATTAGGGGGTCGCGTGCAGAGAATGCATCCAGGAGATGAGAAGGAATTGCCAGTGAGGAGAGATGAGGCTTCCAGAGGCCAAAGAGGCAGTGTGGGGGCTGGTTCCACATGGGCATCCCACAGCCAGACAGACGCGGGACCACCTCTCCTCCAGTCTTCACTGGATGTCCCAGTGGGAGACCTTGCAGAAGGGCTCCACGGGCAAACAGCATAAGAGCACAGTGCCCAGGTGCTGTGAGGTCCAGGACAGTTGTGGGAGTTGAACCCACACTGAAGAGTTGAAGAGAAAGCAGGAGGGTGGAGGGGACCAGATACATGTGAAGGAGGAGCTGGAAGGGAACCCCTACATAGTGGGGCTGGAGCCAATAACAGGGGGATACGAGGTAGAGGGACCTTGAGGAGGCAAGGGGACTTGGTGGTGGAGCTCTTTCTCCCTAGGGGGGAGCATGGCTGTTAAGGGGGCAGGGTTCCCCACTTCCTCTCCAGAAGCCTTCTGCTGAGAGGAGGGAGGGGTTCCTAGGAAATCTAGGTTTGGAACGAATGCTGGGAGATCAGGGAAAGGTTGGGTGGGCTGCCAGGTCTTGAGATCCCACCTCTTTGGGGAAGATAATCTCCCCAACCTGGCCAGGGGGCATACTGAGGGAAGCTGGGGAGGGGGGGCGGTGAGTTTGTGGAGGGGGAGGCGCTCCATCTCAGTCTGAGCTCCTGCTTTCCTCTATACCAGTGATGGCGAACCTATGACACGCGTGTCAGAGGTGACACGCAAACTCATTTTTTTTGGTTTTTTTCTTTGTTAAATGGCATTTAAATATGTAAAATAAATATAAAAATATGTCTTTGTTTTATTACAGTTGCAAAGATCAAAAAAATTTCTATATGTGACACAGCACCAGAGTTAAGTTAGGGTTTTTCAAAATGCTGACACGCTGAGCTCAAAAGGTTCGCCATCACTGCTCTATACCTTAGTGAATGACAGCAGGAACCCAGGGTCTGACTTATCCCTCTCCAGGGCAGACCCCTCCCTTCCTGGGGACCCCAGGGCCTGGCCTGATGACCCCACCTCTGAAACAGGAAGGGCAACACTGGCAGAGAAGGGAGAAGGGAACCCAGGCCCAGGTACTGTTTCTGTCTGTCTCCCCTTCCGTCCCTCTTGGACATACAGATGGGGCGGGGGGTGGGGGGCAGATTAGATTCTACTGGGCAGAAAAATGTAATCCTGACATTTTCCAGGATGTGGGCACGGCTGTTTGCGCCCCAAAGCTAGATGGCAAAGTACACACAGCAGAGGAAAAGGGTCACACGTGAGGCGCAGGAACCAGGCAAGTTTTATTGATCAAACAGCACAGCGTGGCCAGAGCTTCGCGCTCTGGAGGCCAAAGCTCCTATGCCTGAGTCAGACTCCAGGCTCCGGGGCGCCGCGCCGACGGCCGGGGCTGAGCTCAGGACCGCCCTGGAGCAATACGGGGCCCGCGAAGGCAGTTCGCTGCTGGGACCGAGGCTGAGCGGGAGACTCTGGAAAGAACATAGCAGGACCATGGGGAGAGGGCTGTGCGCCCTCCGCTACCGCACCCCCCCCCCCCCACCCCCGCCCCTGCTCCAGGAAAGCCTTCCACCGCTTATAATGAGGGATGAAAGGTAGGAAGGCGTCATCGGGCACGCGGATCTGCGCTCCGTGCTCAAACCTCCCGAGCCTGCTGCCGTCCGAGCCCCCTCCCTCTTCCCTGGAACCTGGCCTGCTCCGCTGAGGTCCAGGAACCGGGGACCAGCCGCTGCTCGGTGCAGGCAGCTTGGTTTCAGGCGCAGGCTCCGGGGCGCCCTGACCCGGGAGCCCTGCGCGGGATCTACTGAGTCGCGCCTCCCATGGTTTCTGAACCCCAGAGGGAGGCGGGACAGCTTGGCGGGCGCAACCTGGAGTAGAGGGTGTCCATGGCGGATGGCCCAAGGGAGTGCGCACGCAGGCCGAGGGGCCCAGGCAAGGGGGCCAGCAGCGGGGCGCAGCGCGCAGCCCCACGAGCAGCCCCGCGGCGCGGCCACTCCTCTGCACCCCCGGACTAGCCGTGCGTTACACCAGGCGCCTGCGGGCAGCGGCAATTCGAGCGGCGGCCCCGTACAGGCAGGGAGCTGGCTCGGCTGGACCTGGGTGTGAGGTGGGTTGGGGTACCTGGGAGCCTGAGCGCAGAAAGCTACGGGCCTAGAGTTGATCTCTGGTGGGTCCAACTGTAACTGCTCACGGCCCCTCCCCTGCTCACCCCCGCGGGGCTCGCTGGGTTCCCAAGAGTGGGGAGGAGGGATGCCGGGAGAAAAGGAGCCCAGGTTGCTGCGTCTGGATGTGGGTTACTGGGGCACCCTAGCTGAGCAGGCCTTTATTTTATTTATTTTTTAAATATATTTTTGTTGATTTCAGAAAGAAAGGGAGAGGGAGAGGTGGAAACATCAATGAGAATCACCCACTGGCTGCTTCCTGCACGCCCCCCACTGGGATCCGGCCGGAAACCCAGGCATGTGCCCTTGACCAGAATCCAACCAGGACCCTTCAGTCCGCAGGCCGATACACTATCCACTGAGCCAAACCGGCCAGGGCTGAGAAGGCCTTTAGATAGAACGTATGTTGGTGCTCCCCTAAGGGTGCCCTTTCCCCTCCAAAGAGTAAATGCCAGGGCATAGGGGCAAAGAAATACCCCTTAGCCGGAGTTCTTATTAAAAATACATACTTTTATTGATTTCAAAGAGGTAGAGACACAAACATCCATGATGTGAGAGAATCATTGATCGGCTGCCTCCTGCATGCCCCACACTGGGGATCCAGCCCATGCAACCCGGGCATGTGCCCTGACTGGGAATCTAACCGTTCATAGGTAGACGGCCAACCACTGAACCACACCGGCCGGGCCCAGAGCTCGTTTTGGTGGGGCACCAGCAGAGCAAAGACAGGGAGGCTGGCAGAGCCCAGGTTGGTCAAGTAGGGCTGATTCGTGGGGGGCCCTCAGCACCATTGAGGACCCCTCTGTGTCTCTCCTCCCCAGGGACTGTCTCTTATTTTTATGTAACCAGCTCTCAAATCTGTTCCCACACTTTGCTCTTCCACTCCTAGCTTCTCCCCACAAACCCTTTTCCTAGCTCCAGCAGAGCAGTTGCTTGAAACCACAAGTTTGGCCACATCAAGCCCTCCCCTAAGGGGCTAGTGGTTCCCCAAATCTCCCACAATAGTCAGACCCTCCTTGCCCACCCGCC